GGGTTTCCAGTCCTTAGTATTGTGGTCAGAAAACTTGATTTTATAAACTTGAAAGTACATTTACTTCCTGTCATGTATCTATGGCATTTGCTTACGTCCTTATAAGAACTGGCTGGTGAAAATATTCCAGTCTAACTTGCTGAGAATATGGATGGCAAGCAGCAAAGTAGCTGAGCGATTTAGAATTTATGTGTTCTTTCTAACTCTGCCAAGAATAAGGCAAGTGGGAGGTGCCTGCATACCTGTTTGCCCTCACCTTCTTAGTCTGTTGTAAGTCAGTTTAATCCTTGAATCTTTGCCAAATTGTAGATTTATCTTCTTAGTCATTCCAGCAGGTCATCGTTGGGTGTCTCTGTAAGCTTTGGCAATCTCACTTTTTGCTTTTCTTTCACTCCAAGTGTCTGTGGCACTGCCTGTTGAACCCTGCCTGTTTTTCTACCTACCAGACAGTCTGGGAAGTTGTGACCTTCTATCACCAGCATCTCAAAGGGCTGGGGTGTTCCTGTAGCATTTCACTTTGTTGTGTGTTTTCAGATGGTTTTTGTCAAGAACTGATCACAGAAAGTTAAAGTAACTGCATTTAAAACACTCGGATTGTTCCTTAGCTCCTCTTCTTGTACCTTGTTGAGTGAATCTTGGATTGAAAAATGGGTGCCCCATCAATGTGACTTAAGCTAGAGCTGGATTTTCTGGGACAGATGGGGTGATCAGTGCCTGGGTCCCATACTAAACATTTCTTAAACCTTCTTAGGTAGCTGTAGCTATTGAATATCTAGTTAATGCAGCTGTAGGTATACCGATGAAATTTGGGCAGTAACAGGGTCTGAGGACTACTGCAGCCTGGTGGAGGTTCTTGATTGGGAGGGAGTATGGACATTAATCCTATTTTTCAAAAAAAAACTTCGAGGAGCAGCTGGGTGGCACAGTAAATAGAGCACTGGCCCTGGAGTCAGGAAGACCTGAGTTCAAATGTGGCCTCAGACACATAACCCTTACTAGCTGTGTGACTCTAGGCAAGTCACTTAACCACAATTGTCTAGCCAAAAACAAAGCAAAGAAGCTTAAAGTCTATGGTATATTGAGGAACTCAGCTTTTACCATTCAATATCCTGCCAAATAAGGCTAGAAAGAACTTTAATTTTCTTGTGCTCATTCATTATTCATGATGTTCACAGTAAACTTGGTTACTTAGGAGATGCCATTCATCTGCCACTGCCCTAGCTCGAGGCCTTTTCACTTCTTACCTGGACTATGCAATAGCCTCATAATTGTTCTTCCTGCTTCAAATCTCCTACTTAGCTAGTTTATCTTCCATACAGCTGCTAAAGTGACCTTCCTAAAGGACAGGTGTGACCACGTCACTGCCCTCCTCACAAAGTTGCATTGCTTCCTATTGCCTCTAAGATAAAATAGAAACTTCTCGGTTTTGCATTCAAAGCCTTTCACAATCAGGCTTCCAACCATACTTTTCCAAGCTTCTTACCATGTTAGTACCATTTATGGCGTCTGCTTTCCAGGCAAACCAGCCAACTTACTATTCTTCATATACAGCATGCCTTCTCCCAAATCCATGCCTTTGCCCAGGCTGCCCAGGAAAGAATGTGCCCCTTTCCCACCTCTACCTCTTATAATACCTATCTTCCTTTAAAGTTCAAGTCAAGTACCACCTCTTACTTAAGACTTTTAGTGATACCCTCTCCCAACTGTAAGTTACTTTCTGTATATTTTGTGTTTGCTTATGTGTATATGTTGTTTCCCCTGATGGGTTGTTAACTTCTTGAGGTTAGGGATTGTTTTTTTCCTTCATATCCCCTGTGCTGGGCGCATAATAAACACTTGTTGATTGATTGCTAAGAACTGTACAAATGGCACAGATACCACATTTTAAACATGCTAAGGGGAAATCGAGAAATAATTTAACCTTCCATGAACTAAGGGCAAACCCAAAACAGAAATATTCCCAGATATGTTTTCCCAGGCTTTAAGAAAAGTGATTTTGTTTACTTCATGGTGGATGTTAGGCATAGGGTAGATTTCACAACTGGCAGCCATACCAGTTGGAAAGAATCACTTGCTTAGGAGTCTTTGCGAATAAGCAGATCCTCTCAAAGCAGACTTTCCATGAGGGGCTAACCTTAGGAGGTGATGTTAGATTTTATAAACTTGTCTGACTGGTAAGATTTCATCTGGGTTGTTTTACACACACACACACACACACACACACACACACACACACACGCGCGCGTGCACACACACACACACGCACACACACTTTCCCTAGTCATCTTTTCTTATGTGTAGTGTTTTCTTTTATGTTTAGCAGGGGCACTCAGCCACTCCTATAAATCACAGAATCATAGCTTTTTAGAAGTGGAAGATCTGATAGTCTGTAGAATTAAATCTGGACTGTCTAGGTCCCAAGAATCTCATTTGGATTAGCTTTAACAAAACCCCAGGACACCATGTAATCAGTCTTTTCTGTCATATTGATCTGTGGCTTGTTTGGGGGTTCACTTCCATAGCAATGAGGAAACTCAGGTTTGCAACGGGTGTCAATAATTCAGCAGACATTTACTGAAACCCCGAGAGCACTGTGGTAGGCATTGGCAGAATGCAGAGTATAGACAGGACCTAGTGCTTGCCTTCAATGCTCTCATTCTGAATGTCTTCTCTGTGGCTGGAGGAACAGGGGAGAGAGTTGTACAGGACGGGCTGCATGGATGGGAGGACATGGTAGGTAGAAAGCCCTCCTCTGAATCAAGATAACTGCTTAGCTTCAGGTTCTGTCTTTGAGTCATACGCTTGCTTTGTGACACTGAGTAAATCACTTAGTTTCGCAGTACTCCAAAATATGCTTCGATGGTAGATATTTCCTTACTGAGCATTCCCTATTCTGAAGAATCACAGGTGAGGGCCCTAAAAAAATCTTAGAGGAAGTTGGGGGAGGAAGGGAATACACATTTATATAGCACCTACTGTGTGCTAAGTGCTTTTTCCAAATATTCTCTCATTTGATGAGATACTCTGAAAGGTGGCTGCTGTTATTATCTCCATATTATAGTTGAGGAAACTGAGGCAAACAAAAGTTAAGTGACTTCCCTAGTCTGAGGCTAGAACTCAAGTCTTCCTCACTCCAGGCTCAGCATTCTATCTACTGCATCATCATCTGCCTCTTAAAAAGAGACTACATAAAAAGAATGACAGTAGAAGAGATGCCCAGTCATGCTCTGAAGCAATAACTGAAAACAATTTAGAATAATATCAGCAGCCTCAGATGTTTATGTGCCGATGCACAAAATACGCTGAATAAGATGAACTTGGTGTTTTAATGTAAGAAGTCAAGAAAGCCAAATAGATAGCACTGAAACCTGGGCTGGAACTCATGTGGCAACTTAAAAACTTGAGCACAGTTTTAGGCATTATCGATAGAATTATGGTGCCCAGAATGAAGGAGACGGTGGGGTCCTCTTATCTTCTGTCCTTGTCCAATCATATTTGGAGTGTTGTGCACCAAATTGTAAGAGAATTGCTGTTGAAAGGAATGCTTCCAGAAGAGAGTAAGTAACCAAGATGGTGAGGGGATTTAAAATCACATCGTCTGGAAAATATTTCAAGGAGCTTTAAGTAAATACTCAAATACTGTTAGAAGAGAAGTTTTTTATTTGGGGAGTGAGTCTAACAATGACAGCTGCCCTCAAATGTTTTCCAGGGATGTCATATATTTCTGACTTTTGAGGCCAAAACTGGGAGCATCGAGAGAGAAATTATAGACTGGCAGATTTGGGCTCATTATAAGGAACCCAGCCATTAGAGGAGTCTAAAACTGTAATGGCATTTCTTATAAGGTTAGTGAATGCCTTGGTATTGAAAATGTTCCAGAAAGATCAGGGCTGCCATGCAGGGGATTCCTGCACTGGCAGGGAGGCTAAACTAGATGAATTGTAAGCACCTTTTAAACCCAGGCTTCTATTATTTTGTATTATCAATCCTGTAAAATCTCTAGTTCTCCATAATTATTTCTTTCTTAATGTTTTTTATGGTAGTTGTTTGTTGTAATTTCAATGACAGTGAGGATTCTGCTTGAACAGAGAAATCCACTTCCTCATCCCCTCCCCCCATGTTTTTGTAAAGATTTTGTTTAGTTGGGGGAGACAAAAGTAACATGTGGAAAAATTAAATTAGGTGCTCTGCTGTGGTACTAAGCGCCAAAGGAATTCAGAGAAGGAAAGTCATTGAACTGAGCCCGTCAAGGAAGCCAGTGTGGAAGAGGTGCGATTTCAGGGAGACATTAAAGGTTTGGGGGTGGGGGTGGGGAGAGGAGGGAGAGCCTGGTAGTCAAGGGGTATGGCAAATGAAACAAAGGCACTGAGGTTGAGATGAACAGCAAAGAGAAGTGACTGGTTTGGTTAGAGCAGAAAGGTTGTGTTGGAGAAGAAGAGAAGCCGAGGCTGGATAGGTTTGGTGGGGCCACATTGCAGACGGGAGAGGTAACATACATAGCTCTTTAGGTGTGTTAAAATCTTATGTCTACTGTCTCAAGGCACAAGTTAGTGGCAGGTTGTAAGGTAGACAAGGGGGCACCCCGGGTTTTCACCTCTGGGGAACCACAACTCTGTTAGAACTTACAGAATGAAGAAAAAAATAAAAAAGAACTTACAGAATGATCTAGAGGAAAGAGCACGGGCCTGAGGGGTCAGCAGCCCTGGATATCACTTACCCTCTGAGTCTCAGTTTCCTTATCTGTATACCACAGATGTAAAGATATCCTGCCTCATGGGTCTGATGGGAGAAAAGTACTTTGGAAAGCTCAGGGCAGTATATAAATCCATTGTTACCAATAATAAAAAGGTTTGTGACCATGAATATGAATGTGATGTTAGATTGAGAATGAATGAAATAAATGTGAAAGACTCTAAGTGATAAGGCCTGTAGTGTATGAGGATTTTTTTTCCTTCTTCGTATTTGCATGTTCTCTAAATTGCAGTTTCTTCCCTTTTCAGCCCTCCCATTCAGCATTTTTCCGCATCGGTCACCTGAGCAACGTAGAGCTGGACGATGAACTACTTGATTCGGTAAGTTGAGTTGGGCATTGTCATCTGAAATGAGCAGAAGAAGGACTATTGGTTGAAGTGGGAGAGGGAATTTTGCTATGTGCAGCTTTTTTTTTCTTGTTTAGTATTTTATTTTTCCTCAATTACATGTAAAAACAATTTTTAACATTCGTTTTTAAAACTTTGAATTCCAAATTCTCTCCCTTCCTCCCTCCCCACTCCTCTCATTGAGAAAGCAAGCAATTCAGTATAGGTTATACATGCATAGTCATGGAAAATGTATTTCCATATTAGTCATGTTGTGAAAGAAAACAGACAAAAAAACTCAAGAAAAATAAAGAGAGTAAAAATAGTCCGCTTCAATCTGTATTCAGACACCATCAGTTCTTTCTCTAGGGATGGATAACATTTTTCATCGTAAGTCTTTCAGAATTGTCTTGGATCATTATATTGCTGAGAATAACTAAGTCATTCACAGCTGATCATCTTACATCTTAACTGTTACTTTGTACACAGTACATGTCACTTTGCGTTAGCTTCTGTAATTCTTTCTAGGTTTTTCTGAGAGCATCCTGCTCATCATTTCTTATAGCACAATAGTATTCCGTCATAATCACGTACCACAACTTGTTCAGCCACTCCCAATTGATGGGCATCCCCTCAGTTTTCAGTTCTTGGCCACCAGAAAAGAGCTGCTATAAATATTTTTGTACATAGAAGTCCTTTTCCTTTTTGTTTTTTATCTCTTTTTGGATACAGACCTAGTCATGGTTGGTTGGTTGTGATCCTTTGTTCTCGAGTAGGACCAAAATAACATCACTGTGTTAGAGTAAGTTACAATGTGTCCAGCTATGGCTGATCAGACCAGTATGAGCTCGGGAATGTTCTACCACCGTTCTGGCACAGATAGTCCATGTGAACATTTGGGGTGGATTCTCTAAATTTGCATGTCTCGTGTTTCTTTTGAGTTACTTCAGTTCTACTTTGCTTCTGGAGCACAGCATCTTCTCTGATGTGGGCACGCCATGCTGGGCGGTTCTGTGCCATTGTCTCACCTGTAACACAGTCAATTCCAAAGTTCTTAAGAGAGATCTTGAGAGTGTATTGCTAGGTCGAAGAGTATGCATGGTTTTATAGCCCTTTGGGCATGGTTCCAAATTGCTCTATAGAATGCTTGAATGAGATCACAACTCCACCAATAGTGCATTAATGTCTCATTTTTCCCATGTCCCCTCCAACATATGTCATTTTCCTTTTCTGTCCTGTTAGCCAGTCTGATAGGATTGAGGTAGTACCTCAGAATTGTTTTAATTTGCATTTCTCCAATCAATAATGATTTAGAGCGTTTTTTCATACGGCTATAGATAGCTTTCATTACTTCATCTGAAAACTGTTCATATCTTTTGATCGTTTATCAGTTGGGGAATAGCTCTTATTTTTATAAATTTAACTCGGTTCTCTGTATGTTTGAGAAATGAGGCCTTTAGCAGAAAAACTTGCTTCTAAATTTTTTTTCACAGTTAAGATTGCTAACTGTATTTCCCTCTATCCTATTTCCCCTTCTGTTTTGTCTTTTCCATCACCACCCTCCCCCCTTCTCTTAACCCCTTCCCCTCCTACTTTCCTATAGGGTAAGATAGATTTCTGTACCCAATTGACTGTATATGTTATTCCCTCTTTGAGCCAATTCTGATGAGAGTATGGTTCACTCACTCTCTCGCTCACCTCCCCATCTTCCCCTCCATTGCAAAAGCTTTTTCTTGCTTCTTTTATGTGAGATAATTTGCCCCATTCTACCGTTCCTTTTTGTCCAGTGCATTGCTTTCTCACCCCTTAATTTTATTTTTTTAGGTATCCCTTCATGTTGAGCTCATACTTGTGCCCTCTGTCTATGTATACTCCTTCTAACTTTCATAATAATGAGAAAGTTCTTATGAGTTACAATGTAGGAATGTAAGAACAGCTTAACCTTATTAAATCTCTAATGATTTCTCTTTCCTGTTTACCCTTTTATGCTTCTCTTGAATCTTTTATTTGAAAGTCAGATTTTCTATTCAGCTCTGGTCTTTTCATCAAGAATGCTTGAATATTCTTTATTTCATTGAACATTTATTTTTCCCCCTGAAAGATTATGCTCAGTTTTACTGGGTAGGTGATTCTTGGTTATAATCCTAGCTCCTTTGCCCTCTGTAATATCATATTGCAAGCCTTCTGATCCCTTCAGGTAGAAGCCGCTAAATTTTGTGTTATACTTGAATTGTTTTTCTCTGGCTGCTTGCAATGTTTTCTCCTTGACCTGGGAGCTCTGGAATTTGACTGTAATATTCCTAGGAGTTTTCATTTTGGGATCTCTTTCAGGAGGTGATCAGTGGATTCTTTCAATTTTTATTTTACCCTCTGGTTCTAGAATACCAGGACAGTTTTCCTTGATAATTTCTTGAAAGATGATGTCTAGGCTCTTTTTTTGATCGTGGCTTTCAGGTAGTCCAGTAATTTTCAGATTATCTCTCCTGGATCTGTTTTCCAGGTCAGTTATTTTTTCAGTGAGATATTTCACATTGTCTTCTATTTTTTCATTCTTTTGGTTTTGTTTTATTGTTTCTTGATTTCTCATAAGGTCATTAGCTTCCATTTGCTCCATTCTAATTTTGAAGGAATTATTTTCATCAGTGAGCTTTGGTACCTCCTTTTCCAAGTTTGATCAGTTCTACTTCTTAAGGAGTTTTTCTCTTCAGTGAATTTTTGTGCTTCTTTTTCCATTTGGCCAATTCTGCTTTTCAGTGCATTCTTCTCCTCACTGGTTTTTTGTACCTCTTCTGCCATTTGATCCCGTGCTTTCTTAAGGTGTTACTTTCTTCAGAATGTTTTTGGGCCTCCTTTATCAAGCTGTGGACTCTTTTTTCGTGTTTTTCTTGCATTACTCTCATTTCTCTTACCAGTTTTTCCTCTACCTCTCTTACTTGATTTTCAAAATCGTTTTTGAGCTCTTCCATGGCTTGAGACCAATTCATATTTTTTTTTGGAGGCTTTGGATATAGGAGCTTTGACTTTGTTATCTTCTTCTGAATGTGTGTTTTGATCTTCCTTGTCTCCATATGGTCAGAATATTTTTTCTGTCATTCGCTCATTTTTCCGGTCTATTTCTTGACTTTCAGCTCTGTCGAATTAGGGCTCTGCTTCCAGGGTGGAGGGTGCACTGTCTCAAGCTTCAGGGTTTTTGTGCAGCTGTTGTCAGAGATACTTCTAGGGACCTGTAAGTTTTCCGTTCTTCCAAGGTGGTATGATCTAAGGAGAGATGTTCACTACTGTGGCTGCCCACAAGCTCTGTTGTGCTCGTGCTCTTCCTTGCTCTGGGACTGTGGCCCAGATCTGAGTATGGGCAACCCTTGTAATCTCCTTCTGATCAGTTGTTCAACCTCCTTACTGTCTGTGGGCTGAGAGCTCCGGAAGCAGCTGTTGCCAATTCAGTGATTCCCAAGGCCTGCTCCTGGTTTGGTGGGGCCTGGTCTGTGCTGGCACAGCCTGTGCTGGACTATTCTCTACTCTCACCCCAGGGCTACAGACTTTTCCTGCTGACCTTCTAAGTTGTCTTTAGCAAGAAAATTATTTTACCCTGTCCTTTTGTGGGTTCTGCTGCTGCAAGAATTGTTTTATAGCATTATTTAAAGGTGTTCAGAGGGGTTTTGGGGGGAGCTCAGGTGAGTCCCTATCTTTTCTCTGCCAAATTGGGCTCTACCTTCTCCTCCTACATGCAGTTTTGCAAAGATAGGGGCCTGTCGTGGTAAATAACTGTGTGCCTTTGGATAGGGCTGCATGAAAATGCCTGAGAATGGAGTAATACAGGTATTTTAAAATACATTTTTGTTTATTTCATTAAATACTTCTCAATTACATGTAAAAAATTTTTAACATTCATTTTTTAAAATTTTGAGTTCTAAATTCTCCCCCTCCCTCTCACCCTTCCCCTACCCCTTGAGAAGGCAAGCAATAGATTGATTATACATGTGAAGTCATGCAAAAAATATTTCCATATTAGCCATATTGCAGAAGAAAGAACACGCACACACAAAATAAGAAAAATAAAGTAAAAAAAATATAATTCAGTCTGCACTCAGAGTTCATCAGTTCTCTCTCTGAAGGTGGATAGCATTTTTCATCATGGGTCCTTTGGAATTGTCTTGCATCATTGTCTTGGATAGACTCACTAAGTCTTTCACAGTTGGCATCCTTAAAATATTGCTGTTACTGTGTACCATGTTATCCTGGTTCTATTCATTTCAATTTGCATCAGTTCATATAAGTATTTGCAGGTGTTTCAGAAACTGTCCTGTTCATCATTTCTTATAGCACAGTAGTATTCCATCATAATCATATACCATACCTTGTTCAGCCATTCCCCAATTGCTGGGCATCGCTTCTGTTTCCAATTCTTTGCCCTAACAAAAAGAGCTGCTATAAATATTTTCATATAAATAGGTCTTTTTCTCTTTTGTTTAATTTCTTTGGGATACAGACCTAGTAGTGGTACTGCTGGGTCAAAGGGCATGCACAATTTTGAAGCCTTTGGGCATAGTTCCAAATTGTTCTCTAGAATGGTCGGACCAGTTCACAACTCCACCAACAGTGCATCAGTGTCCCAGTTTTTCCACATCCCCTTCAGCCGTTGTCATTTTCCTTTTCTGTCATGTTAGCCAATCTGATAAATGTGTGGTGGCATTTCAGAGTTGTTTTAATTTGCATTTCTATAATCAATAGTGACCTGTTATTGCTATATGATATCAATGTATTTATAACTTATTTTCTGCTACAGTTTTATTTCCCAGACTTCTGGGATTTTTTATGTTTTAATACCCATATTTTACATTTTCTCAAAGAAAAGACTGCTTGTAACAACTTTATGGGAATATATCTTAGCCTAGTTAACGTGCACGTAGATAGTAGTGGGTGCTAGGTGGAGCAGGGGATAGAGCTCTGGCCTTGGAGTCAGGAGGACTTGAGTTTAAATCTGGCCTCAGACACTT